GATTGAAATGTCATGTCATACTTGCATTATATTCTAGTATATGCATTAGTGTAGTCATGCATAATGTTGCATGATGCTGCGGAGCCCAGGTAAGCTACAGGTGAGTACATTATGACGTTAGTGGTTGTGATGTATATGGTTATGCTTGGATGCATTTGGTACTTATTATCCTGCACCCCGGTGTTCGTGCTCTGCCCGAGGTCAGGGCTTAGCCTTCACGTGATTGTTCACCTCTCGCACCACACACTCATCTTGGATCCAAGGCAGGTGCCAGCCTGTCGTACAGACCACATTAGGTGGTTCCGACTTGTAGGTGACTTGCGATACTTCGCACAGCCTTCACGTGATCGTAGCACTTGAGCATATTTATTTACACATAGCCTGTCGTACAAACCACATTATGTGGTTCCGACTTATGTGCAGGAATTGTTTATGAGCTATAGATTCAGCCGTACAGGTCACGTTAGGTGACTCCGGTTGATATATCTTTTTATATTGATTTGCATCACCTGGCTTACATATTTATTACTGAGATACTTGACATGCCACTCATTTTGGTTTTCATTGGTCTCAAGCTTGATTTCTATATACTTATGTATTATTATTTTCAGGGAAATTATACAGGTTTTACGATGAGGGGTTATTATTTTTGGAAAGAGAAATGGTTCTAAAAAGCATTGTTTTTGCCCACTCACATTTTCTGTTTTTCGCCCCTCCAAGTTTTAGCTACTGAAAGTTCGTATCGACGAGGATTCTTGGCGAATCTCAGTATGGGTGGCTACCTCTAAGGGTATGATCCTTACCCACACTACTGTACTTTACTTATGCTCTGACGTCGCGTGTAAAATGGGTTCATTCCTGCTCACAACACACTCTGGTCTTTAGGCACTTTTAGGTTCAAATTTATTCACATTTTCTATATCACTATACTTTATGGCTTCATCACCTTCTAGGTGTCAGCCAGCACAGCTCGACTCAGAGTCCTAGTGGACATTCCGGTTGGGGTGTATCATATTAAATATATATAAGTATTGTAGTAAATTAAATTTTTGAATTTTGTTTAATTTAGTACTATTAATTGAAATTTATTTTTCATTACACAATTTTTACCTTGTTTTTTCATTGCGCTATCCCTGTTTTTATTTTATTTTTTTTTTTTCTCTACTATGCATTTTCTTTAGTATATAATTACTTTGAAGGATATTCTTTTTTGGACAAATTACTGAATTTTTCTCTATTCACTTTTTCACCTGATTCCTATAAATTTACGACATAACATAATTGGGCAACAAAAGTTAGTGAGAGTTGGGATCGAGTCCAGCTTTCCCAAGTCTTAGACTTGGATATTGTGAGAAAGATTTGTATGGTACCCATTCCCTTTCAAAGCAAGAATGATTACTTTGTTTAGGAACATTCCTCATCTGGCAATTTCTCAATTAAGTCGGCAACTTGGATTCAGAGCAATAATAACCAAGGAGTAAAATGACGGAGCTGTTAAAGAAGATGTGGAAGTTAATGCTTCCTCCTAAGGTAAAAATCTTTGCTTGGTTACTTATTCATGAAAACTTCATACTAGGGTGAGATTGAGTAAGTTTATTCAAAATATAGACAAACCTTGCCTTGTGTGTGGCAATGATGATGAGACTCAAAATCATATATTTCTAAAGTGCCAACATGCTAAAGAATTGTGAAACCTTTCTCATGTGAGTCCTTGGAAGAATAATTTGGCTCAGCTTAATAATGTTTTAGATTGGATGGAAACAATTGACACTGCTGAGTGCAATGATTTGAGCAATCAAAGTAAAGTTTTCCTTAACTATTGGCAAATTTGGAATGATAGGAATAATGAAGTGTTTAGAAGTATAAATCATATTCTAGCTAAGAGTATTTCTATTGCTGGAAGTGTAGGATTGTCCTACTTCGAGGTTAATTGTAAGAAGACCTCTAGGGGTGATCATTGCTACCAACATTTCATTAATTGGTGTCGCCCCCCACAAGGCAATGTGAAACTAAACTTTGATGGGTCGGTCAGTTTGGAGAAAGTTGCAGCTGCTTTTGTTCTTAGAAATAAGGAGGGTCAACCGGTTAAGGCTAGTGCAATGAACCTTGATGATGCCACTATATCAATTGCGGAGGTCGCTCTTTAAAGGAGGGGCTTATTCTTGCTAAACACAAAGGTGTAAAAAAAACATTTGGTGGAAGGGGATCATAATATGGTCATCCAGGTGATGCAAGGTGACTAGATACCTCCTTGGCATCTTAAACCTATTGTCGAGGATAACAAATGGTTGGCTTCTGACTTTCAATGTATCAATTGGAATCATATCTTCAGGGAGACAAATTTTTGTGGTGGATGAGTTAGTTCATGTCAGCCTCATGGTTGCTAACCCATATTTTTGGGATTATTGTCTTCCTCTTATCGGCCATGGAGGCTTTTAAATTTGATTGTTGGGGAAATGGTTGTATTAGAGACTTTAAGCTTTAATAATAATAAAAAAAATTTCTTGATAAAAAAATAATTATACTTTGAACTCAAGATGTTGTGAGTTGAGTTTAAAAACACTCTATTTATTAGGATATTCCAATACAGCATAATCACTCTTTAGTTAAATAAATCAGTGATTCTTTCCTCCGATAGTCGTCATCGATTTTATTCTCAACTAACATGACAATTGCTAACTAGTGGTGAGTCCATTTCTAGAAAACATTCAATGATAGATTCATTACTCATAGCATAACAAGCAGCAAACAAAAGTTCAGTCAACAATGCCTAACTATTACACTTCTCCATCTAAAAAAAATTGAAATGAGGTCATGAGGTTCCTCAAACCAGTTATAAAGCGAATCACTACAATGTCATAAAAAAGTTTTCTTTTCCTTTTGTTATGAAATGTTACACTCAAAACCTTAGCACTATGTTGGATGAAGTAAATAAACTTAAAATTTTGATAAATGTCAAAATTTATAAATTAACATGTACCAATTCTCTTGTTTGGATTCATAAACATAGAAAGTTAGAATTTCCTCGTGGAAAAAAAACTTGGAATTTGGAACCTCCAATTCTAAATTTAAATTCTATGTAACTAGGTGTTATTTTTAAATTTCTGTAAATGAGAGTTTAAAAATAAGAAATTATGTATTCAAATTCCACTATTTTTGTAGGTTAACCAAATAAAAAAATTTACAAATTCTAGAATATAAAATTTCGTCATTTCTATTTCTGTCATTTTGAAATTCCTTAATAATCTTAAGGGTAAATTACATTTTACCCCCTTAAGTTTAGATGCAATTGCAATTTTATACAATATCTTTAAAACATTTCAATTTCGTACACAAACTTTTATTTAATTACAATTGCATACATCTGTTAGTCAAACCATCAATTTGACTCTTAATTGATGACGTGGCAAATGTGGAGCCCATATTTTTGCTGACGTGGATCTCAGAAATATGCCACATAGGAAGAAAAAAAAAAGAAATATATAATTATTTTAATTTTTAATTTAAAAGAAATCTATTTAAAATATAAAGAAAAATTATGCACTTCATGTTAGAACCCAGCGGCCCACCCCATCTTCAACATCTCTTCCCCTTCCGTTGGAGATCTCTTCCCTCCGGCAACGCGCTTTCAGTGGAGAAGAGGATTAGGATTTCGTTGTAGAAGCATTGTTTGAGAAGACTTTACCGAATGCGGAGTGGTCTGGGGGCTGCGATGGTGATTGGGAAGGGGGTCGCTGCGGCTGCTCGTGTGGGCTGGGAACCATTAGATCTGTGGATCCATGAAATCAAAAACAAGGAGGTTTGTGTATTTCAAAAAAAAGTTTGTGGAAGATGATGAGATTGTTCAACGGAGAAAGTCAATGGTTGTATTCAAAAAGGATTCTAATGGGGGAGGAAAATATTGGGCAAAATTGAAAACATAAAAACTCTGATTTCTCTCTTCAGCAGACAAGCCCTATAAAAGACCAACAATGGAGAGCTTGAAGCCAGCAAAGAAGATGGGTCGGGAGAGATGGGGTGGTTGCGGCCGAGGGCGGATGAGAAATGGAGTCGAAGAGAGCTGCAGATGGAAGAGTCGAGTTGGCATAAAAAATATTTTCTTTTTTAACTTGATTTATCTATATTTTTTTATCTATGTGAACAATTTTGACTGCCACTTCATTAGTTAATGATCAACTTCGCAGAATTATTAACAGATGTATTAAACTGAAATAAAATATCACGTGTTGTATGAAATTGAAATATTTTAAAGATATATGAGATTACAAATGCACCTACCCTTTAAATTTCTCTATCTAAACACAGTGGAAATGAACTTTTTCCCTTAACTCTCTTTTTATATGGAAAAGAATGAGTCAATCAAATTGACTTTTCTCTCTCAATTCCTCTCAAGACAGTCAGCCCCCTTGCGATGGGCTTGGCTTTAGGCTCTCATATTTTAAGTCATCTTATCAAAAACCAATAGGGTTTGGGCCCAATGGGCCTGAGAAAACCCGAACTACTTTTAAGTCCAAAAGAGAAATTTCATGACTTCTATGATTAATTTAGACTTTCTATTTAACCATATCAATTAATTAATTCTATCATTCTTTAGGTATCTAATCATACAAGTGGATCAGTTTACAATTGTTTTAGATTCTAATTAGTAAGGTAGCAGGGTGATTGATATTAATACAATTGATTAGTACTTATACAATCAATTGGTATGAATTGGACAATTTTAGTTACACAAGTTACACTTCCAGAAACATAAAAAAATTGGGCTGACCAAATTTAGCCCAAAATCCAGATTAAATAAAAAATGGGCCTCAGGTCCATTCCTGAACCAGACCGAGAATTTGAAAAATTATTGGTATTAGCAAATTTCGACAAAACCAAAATTCCGTCCCGAAACAATTCGTTTCAGTTTTTTTGGTTCGGGATAGAAACCATTGTATTATGAAGGAGGTCGAACATGAAATGTTCTCCACTCACTCCATATAGCTTGTCAAAGCCGAATGTAAGTATGAAATTTTTCCAATGTAAATTCACCTATCAAATCTTAGTTCTGCAGAAAATAATTTCTGTCTTCTATTCCTTTCCGTACAATCTAAACAAATTTGTCTTGTTTATATTGACACAATGTAATCGTAAAACATCATCAGCAAATCCGATGGACATTGTTAATATTATTAGTTCTTGTCCGCCCACCTCAATACGTGCATGCTTGCTTTCTCTGCCTGCAAATATATCCCAACACAGAAATATAATGATCACAAATGTATGGAAAAGTATACAAGTCACAAAATCAAAACCACAACCAGTGACAGTTCTGGAATTCCATAATCTGTACCTCTTTATCCCAGTCGCATCGAATTGTGATGATGGCCAATATCAAGGTTTGAACTGCTGTCCCACCAAAGATCATTCCAGCCCAAATTCCCTAATCACGTCCATTTGTAATCAAATGTCAGTCCAGAAACAGACGCAAAAATGAGAAGTATATATTGTAGTAACTGGGAAGCAATCATAGAGAATGGTGTGGGGAGAAAGATTATCACGTGTACTTGTGATAAGTATATATTGGATGGGTAATGGAGGAACTCTTTTGTAATCAAAGGCATCATGTAACAAGTACATATTAAACGAGTGATGCACTTCTTGAACATGTGAAACATCTATTAAATAAGTAACGCCACTAAGACTGTGTCTTGGTTGCAAAAGAGAATCTGCATATAAACTGGTGAATCCAATTTCTTTTATACATAAGTAAAATTGAGTGATAAAAATACGTACCATCACTCCTTGGTGGAAGAACCATCCCATTAAAAACCCAAGTGGCACGCCAATCAGATAATAGCAGCCCAAGTTTATGTATGCCACATAAGATTGCCACCCAGATCCCACGGCCACACCTGTTAATCAAAACAAAATAAACACTAGCTAGTTAATGAACCGTTTGATAGTTGTTTCGTTAAAAGTTAACTAGAGAAGGTGATTACCAGAGAGAACTGGTTGAACACTGTTGAGCAAAATTGTGAAGGCTAGTAGAAGGGAGAGTTTGCTAACTTCAGTAAGAACAGGTTCACTATTTGTAAATATGTAGCCGAACTCGTTGTGGAACATCATAATCAAGAGCCAAAAGAAGAGGCCAATTATAACAGATGTCACAACTGCCACTGTTGTCGCAAACTTGGCTCCCTTCCCATTCCCAGCTCCAAGCTCATTTGCAACCCTAACTCTGTTCATTACAATAACAAAACGCATTAGCTACAGAAATTGAATAAACAAACTTTTTTTTTTTATTTCTCACACAGCCCCTCCTGTTTAATCATGTCGTTGTTTTCATTTAATTTATTCAATATAACGGCATGAAACAAAGAGGTTTGTGAGGAGCTAAAAAGAGTAAAAATCAGCTCTTGTTAGTATTGCTAAACCCTAATGGTCACTGTTTTGGATTGGATCCGATAATATTATAAACAGAAAAGAGACAGGAGCACACACAAACATGATAGAAGTTGCATTTGAAATGGCAATTGTTCCGACTCGATCCATTGATGATACTTATCCATGGGAAAAGCAGGCAGAAAAAACCAATTACATACGATGATTATGAGCAGTACTGTATCCCAAATGAAACAAATGATTGAGGGTCTGTCGGTTGCTGACAACATATTTTGGAGGGATAACCATACTGATGATGGGCGGCTAGCGAATATAATCCATCGGACCAGGTACAGGTAATCGAACTAATCAAAGTTGTTTTACCCTTTTACTTTCCCATCCATTTTCCTCCTAAAGTTTGGAGACTTTGATTAATGTTTGGAACCCATCCACATCATTGTACCCCTATGGCCCTATTAAACTTCAAAAGCTTAAGCTCGTGTAACATCATTTTAGACGTTGAGTAACAAAGATGATAAAAACCATCTTTCCAGATAATAGAAAAGACAAGTAGTAGTAGACAACCAGATATTCAACAAAGGTTGCCTAGAATTTTCTACAAGGACGTCCGTCTTTTTCAGACTTATATTCAAATGTTTTTCTAATACAAATACACTAAACTGCGAATTTTTAAATTAAATCATCAGTCTCTATCTCAATCAAAATTATCTTCTTGGACTAAATTAATAAACAAGAAACAAATTATAAAGCCTAGTTATCTCGCGTCTTCTACGTATAGCTATAATACAAAAACAAAGAACTAGTTGGCATAAAAACATATATATATATATATATATATATATATCCTTTAAGGGAATGGATCTTCTCTTTTTTTCAAAATTAAAATTAAAATTAGTTATGAACCCACTTCACATTAAACTTCAACAATATGAACCGTTTATTTTATAATTTTAATTCATAGATCATTTTTGGAAAAATTCAATTTAATCCGAAACCATTTGCTTATTTAACTATCACAATAAAATTTCAATGTTTTCTTAGAATAAAATGTTCGTTAATTTCTGAGAACTCAATTAGATGCCTCAAATATTATCGATTTGACCAATATTTTGCAAAGATGATCTATAAGGTGCAACTTAAAAAAAAAAAGACAGTTCAAATTGTTAAAGTTCGATGTGGTGTGGGTTCCACAACTAATTTCCAATTTTATAAAAAAATGAAAACTTCTCCTCTTAAAGCATTCTGTGTGTGTATAAGGGTGGAAAAAAAAAAAGACCAAACCAAAAAATCTCAAACTGAAAATCCCGAAAATTTCGGTACCCATTACCAAACCAATCCTGAAAATTCGGTATGGGAATTGGTCTCAGATTTGCATTTGTTCGGTAATCCCAAACCGAACTGAAATAAAAAATATATATATATTATTTAATTTTAAATATATATGTAGAATTGTAATAGCCGTCCGATTTGGTTGAGATTTAATCTCAACCATTGAATCCAAATAAACTCTAACTCAGACTCAGAGACTCAATCACTCTCTCTCAGTCTCTCTTGACCTCACGCCTCACCTCAGTGACCTCACCGGCTCACCCTCCTCGTCGTCCTTGACCTCACCCAGTCACTTTGTCGACCTCACCTCACCTCACCTCGCCTCGCTGGAGAATGACTTGTTTTGGAACTGCCCCTATCGTTGCCGTGCTGAAATTCGCCGCTAAGGAATTCAAAGTATGTAATTTTCTAATTGATTATTTGAGTATTATTGGAAATTTTGGATTCTTGTTCGTCAATGTCTAGACAAGAACCTAGGGGATTTAGAGAATGGTTTATGTGGGATGCAGATTAAATAGGAACCAAGATGAACTGCAGAATAATTCAAGCTTTGAAACTCTGCATGCATTCTATCCACATTTTAGAAAATTGAAAATAGTATAAAAATCAGCATGAATCAAGGTAATTTCAATTCTTCATTATGTTCCCAAAATAAAAATTTATAAAATTAGGATTTTTTAGACTTTTAGTAACTGATCAGACTTCTCCAATTTGGGGTTTTGCCAAAATTCAATGCAAGTCTCGAGTCTCTATCATGTATATAGGTTGTTTTAGTGACTGAAGAGATTAGGGTGGTGTTCAATTTTGAATGCGAGTCTTAAATCAACATGAAACAAGATAATTTCAATGTCAATATTATATTCCTAAAGCAGACTCGTATAGTTTAGGATTTTGTTCAAATTCTAGAGTAAGTCTTTAAGATCTAGGTGTGAAAGCTTTTTTTTTTGGTCATTGGGGGGAAATGAATCTTTGAAGATGCAGTAGGGCAGGGTATAGTGAAAGGAGCTTAGGAAGCTGTAATAGTCTAATTTCATGACTTGATCTTGTAGCTGTTATTTATCCTACTGGATTTTTAAGCCATTTTATGCCTCATATTATCGGTCTCTAGTCTTAATTCAGATGCCATTTATATCTTCCATGAGCTTTTAATCTTCTGGTATTATTGGATTTTCCCTTCAAGTTATTCCTAGTAAGAAACAACTCTGCTATCCAAATTGTTCCTTTGTTTTTCTCTTGTTGTATAGTGAAGTTTATGTCCAATAAAGTCAGTCTATCTAGAGTTTGTTCCACAGGTATAGTATAGAGTCTAGCAAACAAGGTTTCTAATTGATTATTTCAGGATTCCCGATTGTCCAGAAATAAGGACTCCATCTGTTGATTTATACAAACTATTACAATACGTAGGGTTATATCAATCCTTATTTAGATAGAAATTGTACACTAACTACAATTGAAATTATATGATTGTAATACAAACGATAATCACCGAGATGCTTCTGAATTAGTTAACGCAGATTTATCAAGTAAAACAAAAATTTAGAAATTCTGTTTAAAATGCTCTAATTGGTTTAGGAAGTCAAGCTTTGGTCTATTACGGTGGGCTCCACGTAGTATTCATTTCATGATAATATAGAAGAAAGCAAAAGAGAAAATGTGTTACCCAGCTCCTGCAAAGAAGGCCAGAGGAATCATCATCTCCCACCCATTTATCGTCATGCTGCCAAGCAAAAAAAGACAAATTAGCATTATATAACTACATTATTATGATAATATTCTTATTCTATTTCAAGAGGACACAGTTCATTTGTGTGCGTAGATCTTGTTGAGTCCAACCAAACTCTTCAAACGCAATTTATAATTTGACAGTGATAGGGCACGGTATCGTTTTGTAGAACATAGAAATATGGACATAGAGAAAAGAAAAAAAAATTTCAATATACAATTTTATTTATTTAATTCTATGGTTACCATATAGACAACGCATCCACAGCAATCTCTGCGTTCTGTAGATTCCCAGTCATCAGAATTAGTATTCTATAATACCAATTCTCCAGGCTGCAATTTCAATTACAAGTTAAAAATGTTAAGGTAAATTGGTAGATTATCAGAAAGGAGAAGGATGTACATGAATTGATTCACTTTCACTGTGGTGCTCCGACCCCCGACTCAATAATACAATTTCATATGTAAGTTTCTCTACATATGACGTTGTATTATTGAACTGGGACGTCATCGTAACAATGAACAGGTTTCATGTAAATTGTTTTTTTTTTTGAGAGAGAGGGGTACCAAAGCATGACTCCAGAAGCAGCAGAGAGTTTAGTGAATTCCCAAAGGCCAGAAAATGCTTCAATGGAGAAACCAGCCCAAGTCAAGGGGCAGCCACCAAAGAGAGTGTAACCCAGAAGACCAAACACCAAAACCCACCACGAAAAGTTTATGGTAATTGCAGTGCCAATCACTCCAAACTGAAGTCTGTACACAAAAAACCAACTCACAAACACATGCACTGCAAGGCCAACCAGAGAAACCCATGCAATCACTGCTGTTTTGAGCTGGCTCTGTAGGAACCTCTGCAATGGAAACTGAAACGCAAAGCTGAAGTGAAGAGGAATCATGACCATGGACACAACGCCAGACAACTCTGCAACTTCTGTGGGTTGCCCTAAAAGCTTCAAAAATGGAGAGGCAAAGAGATAGATTGGTAGAAGAAGAATACAGCACAGAAACAAAACAATCCATGATCTTTGCATGTACACTCCAAGCATGTAGTACTTCTTTGCTCCATAAGCTTGCCCACATAGTGTTTCTAAAGCACTTGCCATCCCTAACTGGTTAAAAAAAACATCCATAACAAAGTTAATGCATTGATCACGTGAAATCGCATTTAGATGTGATAACATAACATGCCAGCAGATTGAGACATTATGAAAATAAGAAGCAAATAAGTGATTGGTGTTGAGAAAAGTACCAAGAGCCCAAAATCGAAACCAACAATGACATTATTAGCAATCGAGATGGCAGCAAGCTCGAGGTCGCCGAGGTGGCCGGCGAAGGCTTGGGTGATGACCAACATGGAATACGAGGCTACACGGCTAAAGATTGCGGGACCAACTATGTGCCACAGCTTCTTTGATTCAATCCAAGATCTCCTTACAAGAGTAGTAGCTTGAGTTTCATCATCATTATGTTCACGTTTCAATCGGACGGTTGAAGCTAAATCATCCAACAATGGAACCTCTGCCTCCACTAGTGCACTGTTACTTGGCATTCTGCAACTGCTAATCCTTCTTAATCACTTCCTTTCTCTGGTTCTTTTGCAACACTTGTCTCTAATTTTATTGGGGGGGGGAGAGAGAGAGAGAGAGAGAGAGAGAGAGAGAGAGAGAGAGGGATACAGCACAATTATAAGTCTGAGAGAGAGTTTGGCTTCTTACATATGAAGGGGAGCAATTGCATTTTGTTCTCTCTAAATAATTACAAGCTGTTGAGCGGCGTTGAAGCAGTGAACCACGTTTGAGCTTCAAATTTTATATTTTATTATTTTGTGCAGACAAAAATGTGTGGCGTGACGACTTCGGTCGCCTCGTGTGGTGTTCGTAATTTCACGATATGATTCATAGACTCAAAATAAGGTGGACTTCGATTTACAAGTCACACCGAAAAATTTCTGATTTAATAGGCAGGAAGAGGTGCAGCGCTACGAAAAGACAAAACTTCCAAAACACACATGGTCATTGCTTACGAAAAGTAATTTGTAATTTTGTATAGGGTATGAAGAAAATTAGAAAAGTCATCGTCAGCTTGTATATATATATGCTATTAGGGTAATGCTAGATTGATCAAATTTTTCAAATTAAATTTGCAAACTCATTGATGTGATTGTAGATAATTGGATTATTAATTAAATGTTGATTAACGTGCTTGTTTCTTATTGGTGACATATCATTTGGTTCAAAAAATTTGATCTCCCTAGCATTATCTATGCTATTGAAGTAGATTAATTAAACAGAAGAAAGATTCGATATACAACCAATCATCTTTCGTTTTTATATTGCAGTGATCCAATGATATATATACATGCAGGGTAATGCTCGAGACACTTTTATAAACTAAATGATATGGAAGTTGATGATTGAATTATTACGTAAGTATTGATTAATATGCATATTTTTTTATATGTAACACATCATTTAAGTTGCAAATTTAGTCAACAAATTTAGTCTCTCTAGCATTAACCTTACTTAAGCATTGATTAACGTGCCCATTTCTTATTGGTAACATGTTATTTAGTTTGTAAATTTAGTCTCCCTAGCATTACCCATATATGCATGCACTCTGAAGTAGCTTTTGTGCACCTCAATGTTTTGTTGTTTAAGAATGGATAATGTTAGGAAGACCCAATTTTTTAATCAAGTTTTGTAAACCAAAAGAGTGGTTGTTGATGACTGAATTATTACTTAAGTGTTGATTAACGTGCTTATTTCTTAGTGGTGACACATCATTTGGTTTGCAATTTGGTTCAAAAAATTTGGTCTATCTAGCATTACCCTTAAAGAATAATTAGAATCTCCTACAATTTTTCTATATCATTAGATTAAACATATGTGCCTTTTTAAAATTTGATTAAAGTATTTTGACCAATAGTCACATCTAATTTTTTAAATCAAAATAATTTTTGAATTTATCCTTTTATCTGCATGATGCATTTTTCCTTATTTAATGGAGATATTAGTAATTAAACTATATTTTCTCTTCTTCCAAATATGTTTTTTCGATCGCATTCTTTTTTTTTTTTTTTTGTTATGCAAACATTTAATATTATTTATTTTTCCAAATGGTTTTTTCTTTTTCAAATAGTTGGTGATCAGCATAAAAGCTCCTAGTAATTTTTTCAATTTTTTTTGTGAAATTATTATTATTATTATTATTTTGCTGTTTTTTTAAGTATAGTTGTTGACAAATTATTATTAGGTACAATACATTACGTAGATATTATCTGCGGGTATGTTTGAATTTACAAAAATCATTAATTGGTATGTTTATTTGCAATTTTGGTAGGTTTGATTTGATACATATTGTTAATATTGGTACATTATTTTTATTTTGGTACGTTTTATTTTGTACACAGTGTGTATTGATATGTTTAGATTATTCTCAATCATATTTTCTCTTAATGTGCTATAAGAAAAACTTATTTCGGTACGTTTGATTTTGGGGAATATAAAAATATTTCAAACTATTTTGGAAAGAAAATATCTTAAATTGTAGATAATTATTGCTAAATTGTAGCATTATTGTGAAAATAAATTGAATCTAACCAACTTCTTTTTTTTTTTTTACAATTATCTCTAACGGAGGAGAGTGTAATCAAAATGCTAGATTATAGGAAATTTATTACAATATAATGTGCATATAGCACCAAAATTATGACAAAAAAAAGTTTAATCAAATCACTAAAATACATGGATGTTTGATCTAGAAAATTCAAAACTGAGGCGCCTATATCAAAAGATCCCTAAATAATTTAAGATGCATGTATTCATGTTAATCAGGAACGTTGAAATTGATCATACTAATTTTGGGCATATCTATTATTTGGGAATTAGGACACTAGTATTGCAGTCTAACAACATAAATAAGATTAGAGAACATTACTTCTTTTCTGTGTAATTAATTTTCACACAACATTTTTCTCTTCATACACACTTTAGTTTATTTCTAGCATGTGGATTGAATAAAGCAAATGAGATCAATGAGCATAAATAAACATAATGAACAGAATTTAAAAAAAAAAAAAAAGTTTGCATAAATCATTTTTCAAGAAAGAAAACCACTAACTTCTGTAATTTTGTTGATTCATTGAGAATATCAAGATAATAAAAATCAGATTCAAAAGAGTGTAGGATAGAAGTAATACCAACCTTTTCAGCTATTGCATTTTGTCATCATCGTCCAGTCTTGCGGGAGGGAGACTACTTTTTCCACTAGGAAATTGCAGTGAGAGCACAACACTTTTTCATCAACAATCGGCCAGGGAAGAGTGTTGCTTGGCAATCTAATGTGAGTGCCCAGCCAGATCTTGTGACAATCATTTACTTTCACTTTTATATTTGGTTGGATATATTTGACAAACAGATTACCATATATACATATATATAGGATTTGATGATGATGTGCAATGGGTTTATATAAAGCAGGCCTTAATTATAATTATAATTATAACTGACAAACAGATTACCATATATATATATATATACATGTGTATTGAGTCCCACATTGGTAGACTACTGAGTTGATATATACTTTATATAAGCCATTGCAAAGAATCTCATTAGTGACTAGTCGTTTTAGTGTGCAGTGTAAATATAGTATATGTTTCGTCTTAAATCAGTACTTTTTGTTTTTTTTAGAAGAGGCCCAATGCCCAACATAAAGAAATTTTGTCATCATGTTCAAGGGCCTAAGGAATCAACAAAATCAGTGTGTTAGCCCAAAATCAGTTAGCCTTTTCCAAAATGTGTGAGCCCAAATCCAAGTTTATAGTTATTATCAATGTTTTAAAAATCGTTAAGCGGTAGTTAGCGACGAAAACGTCCCTAGAAACTTAAGCGGTTTATATTTATTTTAATGAATCTATTAAATATGAATATATGTGTAATTTTATGGCTCTTTCTGTTGGTTAGTAACACATCCTAGGTCCATTTGTTTTTGTTGTGCTTTGTTTTCTAATAAAAAAAATTGAGCCTTGTTTTCTCATTAAAAAAATTTTAAAAAAAAAGTGTATTTTATACTTAAGAAACCCTAACTACGTTGAGCGTCGTAAACCTCCTTTTTCTGTGCAATTTCGTATCTCCAGTTCCTGTTACCCCGTTTTTATCCTCTACAATTGCAAATTGCTAGCTCTCTCTCTCTCTCTCTCAGATAGACGATGATAAAGAAAAGTGTTTGAGAGAGACTAAAAATGATGTGTGAAAATTAGCTCCACCGATTATCAACACAATATAAACATTTGAATTTATAGTTTTATATGACAATCGAATTTTAGTCATTTTAAACTATAAAATGTTACATTATATATATAAAGTTCAAATCTCCTTCAAAAAGATCCAACAGGATTCTCTTCGGATCATTTTGGTGAGGATCCTAGAAATTCGTAAATCGTATCCATTCATCGTACATCGTGCAGTCAGTTTTTGTCACGTACTGTTTGTATTTAATTTTAAATAAAAATATTTAAAATTATTTCTGACTGCATAATGTACGATGAACATATATGATTCACGAATTTTCAAGATCCTCACAAAAAAGATCCGACGAAGATCCGGATTCCAAAAAGATTACTTGATTCCATTTTTTACTTTTGATCCAAATGGATTACACATGTATGAAGTTTCGTGGAATCACTCAAAAGAAAGTTAGATGGTGCACCTTCACTTACCATGAAGACTTTTTAAACCATTGGGTCAACGTCAAGAAATGGAATGGAAGCATACAGACCAAACCTAAGGACTTGTATTCCATCTTTTTGGCATGGAAATAAAAAACAAATCATGTAGACTTTGTCAAAAGGCACAGCCACCCAACCCTAGAAAATAAAGGCTCAATTTATTCTCCATTCACTTATTTTGGAAATGTGATAAATTTGACAAAAATATTTTAGAAACTCACATATACTACATTGTAATATAATGCAACGTAAAATAAACGAATGAGATTTAATAAAATAAATTATATCTTTGTCACCTTCATCGATCCATTAATATCTCGGTGCACGTAAAATCGTAAAATTTAGAGTCACACCTACAATGTTAGAGAGAAAATTAAGTATGAAAACTTGAAAAGTTGAAGATCCATAAGAAAAAGAATGACAAACTGTTTTATTAAACTATGATCGGACAGATGTACATCCAACGACTCATCTACAAATGGGTGCACTTGTCAACTCTAAAATAATGAATCACCATAATTAATCACATCACGACCGTCCAAATCCACCATAGACTGCCAAACCAATAATCATCATATGGCATGAAAACACAGAGTTAAACAAAAATACAAAAAACATTAACGAAAATAAGCAACAAAATAAAAAGAAATTAATAGATCTCGACCGTCCATCAAAACCCAGATCTAAGAGCAGATGTGAGTCTCCACGTGGACCAATAGGAAAACCCGAAAGAGCAAAGCCCATGAATCTAAGCCAACACAATCGCGAAGAAAACTCCAGCAAGAGCAGTTCCAGCAATAGCAACGCGGCTGATGGCGGAGGTGCCACTTGGAGGAACAGCGTCAGCCGGTGGGGAGTTCGGGCTTGAGCCTGAGGGAGCAGCTGACGACGATGGAGACTTAGCTGCTGGAGTGGAAGCTGGGGTGGAAGCTGGTGTGGAAGATGGTGGGGAGGCACTTGGGGTTGGTGCTGTCACTGGTGATGGAGTTGGTGACGCGGTTGGTGTTTTGCTGGGTGATGGAACTGGTACGGCTGATGGCGGTGTGGCGGTTGGTGGGGTGGCGGTTGGCGACTTTGCGGTTGGCGACTTTGCGGTTGGGGGTGAGGCTGTGGGTGCAGCTCCTGGGGCTTGGGCTATGCATGATGTGGCCAACAGACCCAAAACCATCAAAACTTGGAACCCTGCAAAACCCATCTTCATTTTTAGAGAGAGAGAGAGAGAGAGAGAGAGAGAGAGAGAGAGAGAGAATTTGATGAGCGAGCGAGAGAGAGAGGGAGTTTCAGAGATGTGTAGAGGTTTCAAAAGGAGAGGAGAATATAAAAAGGTTGGAGAGGAAGTGGGGGTTTGGGGGGGGTTGTGGCGCGTTACAAATTCAATAATGCTAATTTGAGATTCCTTCAATGGTTAAATTATATTTATACATGCACAATCACATTGCGTTTTTATTAAATATATATATAAATATATGTATATATGTAACTTTACAAATACCTAAATTTTGTTAAGCCAGCGAGGGTAGTGGTGTGATTAGCTGGTCAGCCATTTACACTATTTCTAATTGTTTGAACTTTCTTCAAGGATCATTTACGGGTCGAACCACCAAACACGGTTTTGTTTGGCTTCGACGCATGTCATGATCAGGCTTATACCACTAATTTAGTTTGGACTGTAAATTGTTGAAGATTGCAATTTTTATGTCGGAAACTTCACTAAATATATTACCGTTTATATTAAATGATTATACTTTCAATTGCACCGAGTTTTGTTATAATGAAACTCTTCACTTATCAAACTGTGCATGTGTTTAAGTTAGGATAATATTTACGTGCGATTATTCCTAAATCACCGACAAGGCCCTAAAATCATTATTGACGTAAACCTGGTTTGTGAGCTTTAAGATTGTATGATGATGGGGGAAATGGTTTGAAAATGTCACATGTTTTTGGTTGCTGATGAGGGTTAGTAATACGTCTCTTTCTACCGCATTTTCTGGTGTATTAGTTTTCTTGGTAATATAATAGTGCAGAGCTCAGCTTTTAACAGCCTGGATTCGGTTGGTTTGCCCTTTTCAACAACTACAAGCTTGGTGGGTGGTTTTACAAAAATGACTCTTTCATTATTAGCAATCACACCATTTCATTTAACATGCATTCTATGGTTATTTAGATTAATTTTTTGATTCTTGTGATTTGTTGGGATTTTCAATTTGGTACTTACGCTTATATCTGTTAGTCATTTTGATCATTTTTACGTAATTTTAGAGTTTATGCGCCCATGTATGTATAACACAGTAACTCACAAAATCAAAAAAATATATTTAATGAGAAAAAAACACATCACTCAAATTCATAAAACTCAAAACACAAAGACCAAAATGAAAAATTGAGCAAAATATAAGAACCAACATAGTATTTAACTCTTTAGATTGCCATCAAATGCACCAAATTTACTAATAGCATGTATCTCTAACAAATATGGAATCTACTGTAATGAATAGTGTACCGTACTTCAATTGGAGTTGTCGTTACAATATAATAAATGTTGCATAATCAATATTCTTCTTATAGTTTTTTTTAGTCTAAAAAAATATATATAAGAAGAATATTGATTAAAGTTGCATAAGAATATTCTTCTTATAGTTAGTTGCCTTAAAACATTTAATCTTTACTTTGTTATATGAGATTTTGAATTTAAATTTGATAAACGACAATGGTTGATTGATTAATGTGTATATATAACCTATATATCTTTATATATATATATATATATAAGATAAAATAAAAACTATATTCCAAATTGTATTTTACTACAAAAATTATCCATGAATATTGTTACTATGATTAATATGCATAGGATAGATAAAAAGCATGTGCAGGCCATTTGGATGAGGACCTTTTGTTGCATACAATAGACTCTTACCAAATGTATGGCACATATATCGTATATGTGAGCTGTGTGATTAGCCGTCCTGTGTGGGATAACCGGGGAGGGAGAAAATGTATTATAATGTGTAATCTTATTTAACAGATTATATTATAGTTTTAATCATGTTACCGTTGCTGAGTTGCAATTGGAAAACAACTAACATGCTCATTTCAACTAACACAATAAAATATTCCTTGGCTTCCAAAAACTTATTGTCTTCTTCGCGTCCTTTGACTCCGTGCATGGAGGATTGGAATGAAATACGCGTAACTTCTGGTGCATTTGAAGAGGACTACTCTCCTCCCGTCTTTTTCCTTGTGAAAATTACCAATTCTTCTGCTTGAACAGGTAGGGTGAAATTCCTCATAATCTCTCTAGATCTGAAGGGGAGGATAATTGTGACTTGCCTTCAGTTGTTCCTTTTTTAAAAAATAAAAAATAAAAAATTATGCTTGAACATAATCATTAATTCTAATGTACATGGTAATAACAATTTAGTGTGATGTAGTATGAATACACTTTCAACAATCGATACACCGCTTGACGTGTTGATGCAATATACTAAATTCTTTCGAATTTACCTCACCAAGTATTGGTTTTGCCATCTTGGATCTAGGGTTTAGATATTAATATGTTGCTACAGATACTTTTAACTTAAATCAATTTGAAGCATGCGATTATGATATCACATGATATATCAGTTATACATATACTTCGTGGCGATGTGCATAAATCATTATTCTCCAATATTATAACAAAGTAGCTTACTAAGTGTTTGGTATTGTATCCCATCATAGTGATCAGTTGAGTGGAATTTGTTTGGTCTTATTTTATTTAGTGATTTGTAAACATATGTTTAAGTTGATGAATAGGAGCTGGCAGAAGCTGGCAAGAAGGATGCAAACATGTGCTCCACCACAAGTCTGAACATGATTATTGGTGAGAAGACGGCTTGTTCACAAACATGGAGATAATGGGGTCCCAATAAATCGGTTTTGTGAATTAAAAAAAAAAAAACGTCCTAATCCGAACATTAAAATGCTTCGGACCTTTTCCCATATGAAGTAGAATATTCTAAATTACAACTGTTTACTTTAGACATGGACCTTTTCTTTTAGTAATTGGTTTTCCAATTTCAGTTTTTAGGAAGCAGTCTTACAGGCCTTGCAACTACACTTACAAAGAAGGGTTTTATTTTTTTTTTTTCTAATCACAAATGATATATGAAATTGACTCTCATCATCAAAATGATTTCTAAAATTGAAAATCGATCAATGTAGTCCTTGAAAATAGGTGTTGCAAATCAATGTGGTCTTTTAGTCACAGTTATGTTAAAAATTCTAGTAGGTGCTGATGTGGCACATAAATGGGCCCCATAAGTCATTCTTTAATCACAAATGGTTCTTGAAATTGACCTGCAATATCAAAATGGTCTCTAAAATTGATCCGAGACATCAAAATGGTCCCTAAAATTGAAAATCGACCAATGTAGTACCGCAAGTGTCTCAAATTAATGTAGTCATTCCGTCACAGTTTTATCAATAATTTTGTTATGTGCTAATGCGACACATAAATATGTCACAAAAGTCTAATAATTTAATAATTAATAAAAAGGTTGTCAACCCAAAAACCTAGTCCTGCAATCACCTTTGATTCTAGTCCACATTCCTCTACCTCCATCTATGGTAGCCTTCGCCGTCTATTCTCTACAAAAAAACAAAAACAAAATCTCAATGCACCCATATTTATACACTTCAACATCCTTCACCAACTTGGACTTGGATCGAGACAACCTGTGGTAACAGCTTGGTTTGGCAAGGATTTTTGTGAGATACCGTTAACATTTAGGCGATCAACATCCTCACAACCTTAATCTTGAAAAGCTTGTTAGGCACTCCCCTGGTGATCTGGTGCAGTAGAGAACAACAAGGTTTGCCTTGAGATAATAAGGTTCTAATCGATACACGTCTATTGTTGGTTGAAAATATTTCCAAACCCCCTTTTAGGCCTTAGTTAAGCCTTATGCCTTTGAGAGTTTATGGAAGGGATCTCTGTTTGGAGTAGGGCCTACTATAAGAAGAAAAAAAATATTCCATTGTGCAAAAAAAAATTTAGACAAATTTTTTAATTAATTATTAAATTATTAACCCACATCAGCACATAATAATTTTTTTTACAGAATTTGAGCAAAAATACCATATTGATTTTCAACACCTATTTTCAGGGACTACATTGATCGATTTTCAATTTCAAGGACCATCTTGATGGTGTGGGGCAATTTCAGAGATCAATTGTAGTGCAAAACTGTTTTGCTCGACGCCAGTCTTCGTCGTGCAAAGACAGTTTGCATGATGTTTTGTGTTTAACGTTGCGCAAACATACTTTGCGCAACGAAATTTGCTGCGTCGCGCAAACATATTTTTGTACTAGTGATTTGTGATAAAAATTCTATAAAGAATGATTCTTGGTTTATTTGTTATACTGAGCTTTTGGTGATTATCGCACATGGTTTAGATCTATCTGTGCCCATCGTAAGCACATAAATTAAATCACACTTATCTAAGAATAGCTAATGTTGTGCGCACCACCACGTAATGGTGATAAATATGCTCTCTGAAAACAAGTTTTTTGATACAACAATATTTTGTTCTATAAGGGAGAATTAGGATAGGTCACAGAATGAGTCAGTCACTAACTAGGTATTTAACTTAATACAAATATAATTCGTCGTCACCATTCATGTGGGTCCAGAAGATCTCTCACTTATAAGTGAGGAAACATTACTAGACTATATACTAATTCGGTCTTCGAAAAGAAAAGTTATACAAGGATTTTGACAAACTGATCTACGCCACAGTAGTAGATGATTCGGGAATGGACAAACTAAACAAAGTGACCTTTTAGGTCACCTAGCATTCCGTGTGATTTGGTTAACTAATTGGTATACGACATATATAGTGAGCTTAATAGACAAGCTCATATCGCCATCGATCTAGTTTATCCCATCCCAGTCAATGGATTAGTACTAATCAACATTAAGGAACGTCTTTACTTTTATCTCTAGCACTGATATTATCTAAATCATGTTAAGAGTCGGACAAATTAAGACATCAAGTGTAATCCAATTCAAAATTAATCACCACCGGCCGTCGGTATCGATAAGTCCTTTTTTTGCCTTTTTGTTTTTACTAAAGGAAATGAACCCTAGCTAAAATGAGTGTGAAGTGTGAACCCAACGAAGCAAAACTCATTTTTCTTATTTACTCATATGGTCG